TCGCTAACCGGTTGTTCGGTTGTTTTCTGACATATTGCCGCGAGCGCAGCTGACCAAGCAGGCAGCACGCTCGCGGTATAACGGGTATCGCGCTCTCCTTTTACACTCTAAAAAAAAGGTAGTCATACGTGACTACCTTTGGGGTGGTAAAAAGTTGTCCCAAATATAACGACCCTTAGGGTAAAAATCACGACCTCACACGTAGTCAAAAAGCAAGTAGTCAAATTTGACTACCCCCAAAAGCAACATGGCGGCCGGTTAGCGAGGCTCAAATTCCCCGGTAAGGCCTAGCGAACAGCACGGATTTTCGTTCGAGTGAGAGAATAGGGCGCATACTCCTATTCGACGTCTTCCAAGCGCCGTCAGATACTCTAAACATCCGTCCCTAGACACCGGTACCGTACCTATATCCCGGAAGGACGGCAGTGTGTGTGTCGGAATCGCGGCGATTGCCCCCGACAGTGCCGACAGCGTCTCGCTAGATTGACTGTGTTTTGACCGCCGGCGGAGCACGCTTAAAAAGGGATCATTACGCGAGGAATGGGCATGCTGATTTTATTGAACACAACGTATGCTTGAAGTCTGAGACGATGAACCGCTGGGCACCTTCGTCGAGCGTGGTCGAGACCTACGAGAGGCGAAGCTCGGACTGACGCTACCGCTATATTTTTTTTTTGTTTTTTTTTTGCGATCTCTTTTTGTTAGTGCCTACCTCTCTGTCGTGGTTATCCATTCGCGCGCGTGTGTGCTTGCACTTCGCAGCTCTTGGACACAGAACGAGCATTTAGGTGGCTGAGTGGCACAATTATTACGACTGTTATCGTTTTAATAGGTAAGAAGGCCAGCCTGGGCCAACCAGCTTTGTAAACCGATAGATACATGACTGCAACACTTTGTTCCTTGAATTAGGCGGCAGCTTGCGCCACCTAGAGGGTGTGGTAATAATCGCTAAATGGCGCTAAAAAATACGTTTTTATTTTGTTTCGGTTACGTGTGACCACACACATTATCACTAGTACACCAGCACATACACGGTACATACACAGTACATACACCAACCATCAGACCGAACACTGGCACATACATACAGCAGTACAACAAGGCACAACCAACTCCGACAGACCACCCGCGCGACTCTCTACTCTAACCACCCTATCGACCCGATTCGTATATATGCCCTACCATTTTCTGGCAATGATTAGGCGAGTGAGGGCCACTGTTTACTAGAAGAATACAAAGAGTATTTACATGTATTATTGGCATACAAGTGCTTTGTGCATTTAGGTGGGCAGGCTAGACACCTCTCTTAATCCAGCACTTCGGAGGGCAACTTAATATAAAGTAATCGGCGAAAGGAACACCGCACGGCATGCTCCCCACCAGTTTCGGTTTCAGTTTCACGCAGCGGATAAGCTTCCGCGCGTGTAATAGTAGCAGAAGTTACAAGTCTCTCTCTACATTTCTGGTCAGTAATTGGCTAAAGGTTACATGATTCTTAGTCATGCGTTGTTCAATTCGTTCTCGTTTCCCTTTAATTCAGTGCTTGATAATAGGTGACTGTTAATTGTAGCGCTGGCGGATGCTTTCCCGTGTTGGTCGAGTGGCCGATGAGTCGCCCTACTCGCGCCACATTGAAAGCCCCCAAGATTAAATATCAAGCAGTTACTAAAAATAAAAAAAGTTACGTGCAATTAGATAAAACGAAATAACATGTAAGCAGTGTAGAAAGTTCAAAACGTTAAAGTATTACAACCAAATGTCTCTAATGGAGACAAAAACTACAAGTGGCAATTGTTTGTATTCTCTTACTTTCCAAGTCTGATATATACAACTTTATTTTGAAAAATATTTTATTTTAAAACTTAAATGAACCTCTTAAACAACCTTGTCGGTAACTCTTAAAACATCGTGGAAATGAAAATCTGAAAAGGAGTCTTTTTTTCAGTACTGGACTATCTAACAATAATAATTATGGTAATGTTACTTTCTGAAGCCAGCAACAACCTGCAGCTTTCTTATTGGCACCTTCCATTATAAAGCAAAGCAAAAAAACTTACATGAAAGCAGGAAACATTTAACCAAAAAAAAAAACATTGTTATGTATGCATTACAAACATAATACTAATAGTAAAACTAGGATTCCAGAGTTTTTGCTAGAGTGGGCTCTACTGCGAGGACAGATACACCTGTTTGTTTTTTTGTTTACCGTATTGACCCGATACATACCATTATGATCAAATTTGGGCATTTCGCAGCTTTCGAAACCTTACCTTCCTAGCTCAGAATTTTTAAAGGCCAAATTTTAGTGTGCTTGCTAAGCATGGAGGCATTTAACATAAGCAGTGCAGAAAGCTTGGGGCATTAAATAATTACTCCTGGGATTGTATAAAGTGCTTCTAATGAAGACAGTAAACGTGGCAGTTGTTTTTTTCTTTATTTTACATGGGATTTACACTTTTTTTCCTTCTTGAAAAATTAAAATCATTGAAAACAACTCACTTCTTGAAGTAAATGAAAGCAAATGAAAAACGAAAAAAAAAGTCTTTTATAACACTCAACAATTGGATGTACTGTAATTATTATAATAATTATACTTTATGTTAAAAGCCAGAAACAGCCCTGCAGCCTTCCTATTGGCACCTGTGAACAATATCAAACAAAGCAATTAACTTACATCAAAATAAATAGGTAACTTAAAACACTACAAACAAAATGATTAAAGCACTCGGAACTAGTAATTTCACTGCTTAGAAAAGCATCTGAAAATGTATAATGTGCAAAGATGGATATTGTTTAAACCATACAAGTATATATAGTGGGCATAGCCCATAAAACCCAGTTTCAACAATAAGTATAATTCACTATGACAGAAATATAAAAAGCCGCTTACAACTCCCTGTAACGCCGAATTAGAGCGCAGCTCTTGAGGAGGAGGAGGGAAGGGCACTGGGGGGGGGTTAAACTAACCAGGGGGGGTCACGTTACCTTGGGGGTCACGTGACCCCCAATGCCGATGATGTCATCACTGACGTCACTGATGACGTCATCAGTGACGATGACGATGCGGGTACCGATGACGTCATTAGTGACGTCACTGATGACTTCACCAGTGATGATGACGATGACGATGCGAATGTCGGTGACGTCATCAGTGACGTCGCTGGTGACGTCATCAGTGATGATGACGATGACGATGCGGATGCCGGTGACGACATCAGTGACGTCACTGATGACGTCATCAGTGATGATGACGATGACAATGCGGATGTCGGTGACGTCATCAGTGATGATGACGATGACGATGTGGATGCCGGTGACGTCATCAGTGATGATGACGATGACGATGTGGATGCCGGTGACGTCATCAGTGATGATGACGATGACGATGTGGATGCCGGTGACGTCATCAGTGATGATGACGATGACGATGCGGATGCCGGTGACGTCATCAGTGACGATGACGTCATCGGGGGGTCACGCGACATCGGCGGGGGTCACGTGACCTCAGGGGAGTCACGTGACTTCGGGGGGTCACGTGACCCCCCCACGAGGTCACGTGACCTTGGTGGGGGGCTCGCGCGGTGCATTATGGGACATTTCCCATGATGCATCGCGCGGTTACGCCGACGCCGACGGCGACGGCGACGGCGACGGCGACGCCGCTCAAGCCGGAAACGGGCCCCTAAGAGCTGCGCTCTAAAAAGTTGCCCTCAGTTTAAAAAAAATAGCAATTGGTTGATCATGGTTTACTCCAGAGAAAGCAATTTTTCATGCAATTCTAGGGTTGCTGACAAACTATTGGTCGTTGTGACACAAAATGTAGATGAATACTGCAATACCCGAGATTTTCTCACATCACTCTTGTAATAGCATCTCCATGAACGTAAGCTTTTGGCGAAAAACAAATGTGCCGAGAGAGAGAGAGGAGATGAGAGCGTGCGGGAATGCCGGAACGCCGAGCTCTGGTTCGAATGGTTAGTGGGTAAACCTAAAGCTAGCTGCCTTTGTTTACACTGCGCTCGTCGAATGCATTAGAATGCAGAACGCTGGCACCGGGCATTTGGCTCTCGCATTCAAACGCATTCAACGCTTGCAATTGAGACAAAGGCAGCTAGCTATAGGTCTACAACGCACTAATCGTTCCAACTAGAGCTCAGAGTTCCAACGTCCCTGCACGTTCTTGTCTCCTCTCTCTCACTCCGTTTCTCAGCACATTGACCATGACAAATTTGCTTCGCTTTAGCAAAGAAAGAGGTGTGTTTATGTCAGCTTGACATGAGGAAACTTTCTCGACATCTTGACTTTGCGAGACAGAGGTGAATTTGGGGGTCTGACATGCCAACAAAGGCCATTTGGCACACTCTAACGAGGAACTTAAGATTACTTTCGACCTCCTGGGGGGCTATGTAAGTCTGCGGGACAAGCTGGGACGAAGGGGCCGGGACATCGCAGCCTGCGCTGCGATTGGTCAGCGGCATAGCACTGACCAATCACAGCAGGCGGCGACGTCCCGTTCCGTTCGTACCGCCATCTTGCAAAGAAATATGCAAGATGTTATCCCTAGAAATTAGTTACCCCTAGAAATATTTTGATATGTAACCGACATCTCTAATACATCGTGGCGCCGCAACAGCTGCAATTCCAGTCTCCTGTTACAACGACGAGCTACTTTTGGTTGTAATCCTGATTAAAATGCAACTCTCAAACTGTATGTACACCAAATTATGCAGTAATAGCATGTTTCTATGTCCTCTGCTGATGCCCTTGAAACCATTAGCTCACAAAATCAGGGCAAAAAAATCTATCCCTGTGTCGGTGATCATCCTGACCCCACAAGGAATGGCGTGGAAATGCTGCATTCTTCATTTCTAACTGCTGCCTCAAAAGTTTATAAATTTAAGTAATTGAGTAGTTTGTTTTTTGTGTTGCAGCATCTGAAAAGTTGTCAGCATCTTTCGAACAACAGGAAAAATTGCCTCGTCTGTCTGCAGGTCTGAAGCTCACAATGAGCTCCAAACCCGAAGTGCAACCATGCCCATTTTTGTATGAGAAACACCAATGGCATGCTCCAGGATGGTGAGCATATTCTTGGCCTCCGGAGTATAGTGAATGCCGAAGGCCCAGAATAGGCTTATTAGCAATGAGAAAGCTTGCTTGAGGCTTGGAACGTCAATGCTCAGTTCTTCGACTTTCGCTGCATACATGGGAGAGGTCAAGACATCTTCCCCAACGTATACAATACATGGGTTCATGTGCTGGGTGCCTGGCTCCTGTAGAAAACGGAAAAGGAATACTGCCATGTATAACATCTAGAAATTCCCTGAACCTATTTGTTTATTCAGAAGCAGACAGGTGAACTTCTACACTAAATTTCCTCCACTAGGGTAACACAATGTTTCCAGGTTCACAAGTTCTCAGACATTATTAAAGGGATACCGAAATGAAACTGCAAGCATAAATGACAAATTAAAAATAAGTGCACTATCTATCTTGAATGACTCTCTATATTTTTCTATCAAGCAGTAATCAAAGTGAGAGATAGGCATCTTGGGACGTTTGTGATGTGAGCACCATGGCCATTGCTAGCCTGGTTGCAAGCAATGTTGAACAGTGGTGGTGGTACCATGCTGCACATGGACAGTTTTGAACACCCATAGGCTAAATAATTCCTCTTAACTTTCCAATTCTCCCACATCTGTACTCACATGAATATTCACACTTGGCTACTTGTTTCTGTGCTGTGGCACTGCTCTGGGCAGATAACTGACAAAATGACCTTCTGGCAATCCTTTAGAAACGTCTGTTAGACATTCTGATACACACTAAAATTTGAGAGGAAGGGTATCTGAGTTCACTATAGCTTCATTACATATTCTGAGCATGTATTAGACATGAGGGTGCGTGACCTGTACGAGTGCTTTGCATTAACTCGGCTCGGCTCGTTTATACAATGTGTAAGGTCATCGACCAGAAAGGACTCCAATCCAATCACACACTTGATGTCCAACAAATGGTGACTGCCAATGTTGCTCAATGGGGTTTTAAAAGGGATTGATGTACTTACTATACTCTGTTTCACAATAGCTTGGCAAATTGTGGAGGCTATAGCCCCCGCGATTCAATAAAAGCGTCGGAGCGAGGCAGTGACACGACGTCACTACAGAGTTTGTATCGCTGCAGCAAATGCGAGGCACGGAGGAACCAACTGTTGTCTGCATGCTAGCCTAAAGTCGTCTGCTGCGAAACCAAACAACTTTGGATGAACGTCCATCACTGTGACAATGCCGTCCACTTGAGTAGTGAGCTCTTCGGGGTCAGTTCACAAGGCAACCATACGCCTAATGTACCCGCGAATCTGTGGCGGGTGTTATAGCTAGGGCGACGTTTTGAGCGGAAGTGGTCGATTACAGGGCTACGATCCTTCAAACTTCAAAAATTGTTCAAAAGCCACGTCGTTCTTTGAAAAGAGTTGATCCGAATTAATTATAAGTATCGTTCAAACGTAACATGTCTTCGTCTATTTCTTCCATGTGATGTGGCCAGATGCAATCGTGCGAGTCCAATTGCAGTTAAGAGATAAAGAAGCCTAGAACTACATTTTGTCGCGGACGGCACCGTTGCTGTGGTAGTAACGAGCCCTCTGTGGCTTCAGTCATGGAGGGTTGTATGTGCCTTGCTCCGACGCCCTTACTGGGGTGCATTTTGGCTGCAACCTTCACAGTTCGCCAAATTATTGTGAAACGGAGTATAGGTTGACACCCAGCATAAGCACAGTTCACTATACTAGTAGTTTTGACCCCAGTCCTTCAGCTGTGCAAAAAAAGAAAAAAACACTAGAGATCACTTGGTCGCTTTGTGTCATGCTGTGTACTATTATATTAGTGCATCCTTTTAGACATTTCTAATTAACAAAGAAAACTATATCTGTCGCCCTGCTGTCTATAATTATTATTTGTATGGAGGTTGACAGCCAGTAATAAAAGCTATTTGCATGAAAACTAAGATGTGCATAATGAGTTGCTCATACCAATTTCTTCAGAATCGAGGTACTTTTTTCATTCATCAGGCATGGCAGCAGGAGCAGGGCGCCATTGCCAAGAAGCGCTTGAGAAAAAGTTAAAAAAATATAGACAGTCACAATACTTCCCTGCAAATAAATGTTAGCATGGCATTACAATCATAATAAATGTTCTCCCTTTAAAAGGGTTGATAACTGGGCTAGTTGGTAGTTAGACATTTGAACGGTATTAGCGCACACGTATGAGGAAGAGAGAAGAGACAGAAAAGAGCGCTACTCACAACTGTTTTTACAAAGATGAAGAAAAGGAATAACCTTGTCAAGATCCCCATAAAGATGAAAAAAGGAAGAAGAGGAAGCAGAAATATAAAACAGGAATATAAAACACAAAGTCGGGTGTTCCCTCGCGCGCACAGGCTTGAGACACTGGTTCTTTGATTAAACACCAAAACCTTTGTTGGCCTTTTCGTTGCCATGGTGCAGGGTGTGTTTGCATCAGTCTTCGCTCACGCAGGGTCACCCTTGTCAGAGGGGAAGACGAACACCTCATCCGTGGTCGGCTGGCGCTGGGTCGTCGTGCCTGATGTCTCGCGGCACCCGTGACTCATGCAAGTTCTGCATTGTCCGTGTGAAAAAGTCTGTTTCCTTGCTTGTTAAGGCTACCGATGCCACACGCTGCAGATTCGCGAGCATGATTATTCTCTGAGAGCCACAGTGGGAGGCCATCCCGCAACACATTGCAAAGAGTGCAATTGCAATCCGCTGTTCGGGGAAACAATAACCCTAGAGAGGCACAAGGATATAGTGACCCGCGAGGTGGTGGTAGCCTTAACAAGCAAGGAAACAGACTTTTTAACACGTACAATGCAGAACTCGCATGGGTCACGGGTGCCACGAGACATCAGGCACGACGACCCAGCGGCAGCCGACCACGGACGAGGTGTTCGTCTTCCCCTCTGACAAGGGTGACCCTGCGTGAGCGAAGACTGATGCAAACACACCCTGCACCACGGCAACGAAAAGGCCAACAAAGGTTTTGGTGTTTAATCAAAGAACCAGTGTCTCAAGCCTGTGCGCGCGAGGGAACACCCGACTTTGTGTTTTATATTCCTGTTTTATATTTCTGCTTCCTCTTCCTCCTTTTTCATCTTTATGGGGATCTTGACGAGGTTCTTCCTTTTCTTCATCTTTGTAAATACAGTTGTGAGTAGCGCTCTTTTCTGTCTCTTCTCTCTTCCTCATACGTGTGCGCTAATACCGTTCAAATGTTCTCCGTATACTTTACATAGCTGTATGTTACTGTTGTAGCCATGGCATCATTTATTTTCTAAAAATTATGATTTCAAAATATCTGCTCATATTGTTGGCCGTAAGACTTGCAGCATAATAATCGCTGGTTTTGTAGGCACTTACAAGCAAATTAGCTACCTCAGAAAGCTTCCAAAAACATGCCAGAGGGGAAAGCAATTTTCTTTTGGCACTTACTTGCACTCTCTTCTTGAGAGCATCCCTTGGAGTACTCCAGAATTTCCTTTGCCTGTCGTTTGGAGGCAGCCTTCATAAGGAAGAGCTTGTAGAGTTCTTCAGTTTTCCTTTCAAGGAACACATCAAGTCCCTCCTCGGCATCTCGACCTGTCAGCCGTCTGAACTCCTGTCGAATCTGTAAATAATAAATTGTGATCAATTTATGAATGAGATGTCAACACTATAATAAAACTGAAAAAAAATCCGATTATGTCACTTGGTCATGATGGTGCCTACTCCTGCCTTTTGCTTTACGAGACAGACCATGTTCTTATTAGCTAATATTTTCGTCTGCATTATACGAGGTGTGATCAGAAAGTTCCGGGACTCATTTTGTAGCAAAAAAAGAGAGGGCAGCACAGTGATGCGTGCTCAGCAGTCAAAGAAAGGGACCTTTGTGTCTCGTTATACCAAAGGGCACCGCTCTGTGAACATTTGCAGCTGCGTTTCACAAGTTTCCGTGACCACGGGCATGGGTACAATAGCTATTTTACTATAGACTACAAACCAGAGCAAGAGCGAACATCAATTTTGCGTCAAACTCGACAAATATAAAGCAGAGACAATCGATATGATTCAGCAGGCTTGTGTGAAAAAGCAGTGAATTTCGCGAAGTTTTTTAAGTGGCACTCACGATTCAGGAATGGCAGAACATCGCTGGAAGACGAAGAGTAGTAGGGCGACTTTATCCGACCTCTCCTTGACTTTGGTGACGTTCTGCCATTCTTGAGGTGCGAGTGCCACTCAAAACACATCGCACACCTCACTTTTTTTTTTACATTAGCTTTCTAAACCATTTTAGACGTCTCTGTTTTATGTTTGCTGAGCTTGACATAAAATTGATGTTCGTTCTTGCTTTGGTTTGCAGTGTATGGAAAGATCGCCATCATGCTCGTGCATGTGGTCAAACAAACTGGTGTAGCGCAGCTCCAAATTTTCACCGAGTGGCGCCCTTTGGTATAATGAGACATAAGGTTCTTTACTTTGACTGCTGCGCACGCATCACTGTACTGCCCTCACTTTCTACGCTACAAAATCAGTCCCGGAACTTTTAGATCACCCTCCGTATTTAACCCATTTACCTTGACTACTGGCTGGGTTGACAATTCTATGTAAATTGCTGAATTGCATGTCAACATTAAATAATATAATTTTCATAGTCTGGAACTCATTCCTCGATCCTTAACAGCCGGGTTTAAGTTTTACTGGCATATGTATACAGTAAACTCTCAATTGAGTGAACGTCGGTTTAACAAATATTTCAAAATAACGAACTTTAAAAAAACTTCCCGGCAGTTTTCCTATGCATTCTGTGCAAAAATGTTTCAGTTCAACGAAAAACAAATTCCGGAATAGCGAGTATTCCAGTTCAACAAACTTGATCGGTGGACCCAGGATTATTTTTGCAATCAGTTCGGCGAAGTTGGGTGCTCTGCAGTGCTGGCATAGCTAATGCCTGCCGCCCCGCTGCCACTGTCTCTACAGCGGCGGCGTATCATCGCGGGTGTTTACAGTGCCGCCGAGGCAGAGCGGCGATGTAATAGACGAAAACAAACCACATGGTGTGTCTGTTCTTTGTCACCACTTCCGTTCGGCCATCTTAGTTTTGGGTAACAACGGCAAGACAGCAGTTTGTGCGCCCACTTTCGTTATGAGTACAACAGAAGCGGCTGTCTGTATCGGACAAGCTCAAAATCCTTCAGCGCCTGGACAACGGTTAAAGGCAAGTGGACGTTGCGAAGGACTACAGGATTCCACCGTCGACGTTGCCAACGATAGTGAAGCAAAAGTCAAAGCTTGAAGGAGCATCCCAACGTGAAACGACTCTGCACGGGATATTTTGAGCCAGTGGACGATGCCGTTGCGGTATGGCTTCGTCACAGCAACAGGCTGTGCCAGAGGAAGTGCAAAAAAAGATACTCTCTGGACAGCTTTGCTACTTCTTGCACATTAAGAGCACCGGTGCAAGTGAAAATTAATTTTTTTTTTCTAAATGAAAAAGCAGCAGGGTAATTGTTATGCACTTTGTATAGTATATTGATATACGTGACTCCATAAATTGCATTTCACACTTTTGACTCGATGTATGTTGTGCCCTATGCCGTTCCATATTCTAGTGAATATATTCAGTTTAGTGAATGTTCCTTGGGTCCCTTGAGGTTTGCTCAAGTGAGAGTTTACTGTACATTCTTTTTTTTTTTTAGTGTTCAAGAGAATTGTACAGCATAGCTAATGCATGAAATTATGCAAAGATCTACCACATGCACTGTAAATCATAGCTGATACTCTTTAGTTATAATTAGGCAGCAGACTTTCGGATTTTCACCGAAAAATGCCAAGAGACATTCTCCACTGTCAGAAATTCAGACTTCTTTAAAACGAAAAAAACCCACTGATTTCCGGAAACTTTTGTTCTAAGCATGTAAGTCACCGACCGATTTTTCGGTGACTTACATGCTTAGAACAAAAGTTCGATAGTTCGGACTTAAAGGAGGAACCATGACTTATCCCAAAGATATAGTGTATATTCACGACCAATGTTTCGGACAGCTTGAAGTACGAAAGTTTGATAATTCGGACAAACTCGTCGCGAGCGATCAGCGGGAAACACCACCGAGAAGTGGCCATTTTGAATTCTATGTTCGCTGCAAATGAATTGGCTTGGTTTGGTTTGGCAGCGCGACATGAGTACTTACTCCTGAGTCCTACCGCTAGCCTTTTTTTTTCCATTTAGCTGCACGTCATCATGATCATCATTATTATTATTATTTTGCTTTGTTTCCTTCCATCCCTTCGTGCCTCCGCCCCACTCTCGCGTCGCCGGTAGCCATTTTGCGTTTGTGGGTTTGCACCTTTCGTCTCGTTTTTCGCATCAGCAGAAAATGAGACTCCGACTCCGAATACCGCCTGCAGCCATTGACAGCAGACATTATGAATGCATTAACATTGCTGTTGAATGTGTACGACGAGAACACGGCGCTCACACAAATGCAAGCAGACATCATCGCAAGCAGGCAAAAGATGAAGCAAGCCACTATTGACGGCTTTTTGAAGCCTGCTTAGGCGTAATAAAGGCAAGCTTTTCATCTACCGAATTTTCGGACTGCTTGTTCGGACCATTTCGGGGCGGGTCCCTTCCGAGTCCGAATAATCAGTCGGCGACTGTATTATTTTCATAAATCCTCCCTCAGACATATGTCATGCACATACTCTTACTGGAATTACTATCCTTAAAGGACAGTGGCATGAAAGTTAACGTCAGCCGGGCAGCCACCACGGATAGTCGCAAAGATTTTGTTCTTTTTAAGCCAGAGCTGGGCAACACTGCTCGAAAGCACACTGGCCGTTGTTACTTGCGTTCCTTGTAACAGAAACATTTTGCTTGAGAACACTTATATTTTTGCTATTACATGAAGCAGAAGGGTAGTGGGAGAACTTCAAGGTTGGTTTTTATTCTGAATATTTAATTAAACATTTTATTCTTAATATTAAAGAAAAAATCAAACTTGAATTGACAGTGATGTCTACTTAAAGTAACCATATTTTGTTCCTTTACACAACAAACACACTTTTAAACTGAGGAAGCACTGTGATAGGATGAGCATGTATGCCAATTCTTTTTCGGTTAAAACCATTGTAGAGTGGAACCGGTTGTTACAGGTGTCATGATGAGTACATTATTTTCCTAACTTGTTATAATGCCTTTGGGCACTGCCAGGTAATCTGTGAAGAAATAATAAAACCAAAGGCTCCAGATGTTTACATTACTTGCAAAGTACCCACACCTTGAACTGGGTTCCAACTCGCTGTCTGTCGTTTGCCAGTGCTGTTGCATTATTGTGAGTGAGAGGCATTATAAGGGTGTCAACAAGATGTCAATTAAACTTAAGCTCTTAGTTTTTACAAGTTTTTTTTTCTGCAGTTGTTTTTGCGAGTAATAATCTTTTTTGGCATTTGCACAAACCAAATTGTCGAAATACAAAATTTTATACATAAAATAAACTCCAAAAAAAAAACGCCTGCAAATATTTTGTTCATCCTTAAACACCAGGAAATCTGTAGCCTAGTTAAACTAAAAGGTTTAGGATGAATACTTGCTTCTTGTGCCCGCGTAAGGGCTGGGTAGCGATCTGTCACAGCAGTCACTGTCAAATTTGCTCCGTTTAACCATGCCCGCCTGGCTTTGTAGGTTCGGTTCATAGCGTCTTCCACTTTCCTTTTGTCCCACACCGTCTTCTTCATCTCTTTCTTCATAAACTCAATCTGCCCGTTGATCGTTTCCTCATCTTCTCCAGGGCCACAGTCTGTAGCCTGAACCATCTGAAATTGTAAAAACAATTTAAAAGCAATGCTTTTCATGTTGTTTTTTTAGATAAAGATTGTATGTTTCATTTTTTGTAACAGTGTTCTTAGGAATAATATAGACCAACTCAACACACTGATGTCACGCCACTGCGGTGGCGCTCCTGTCAGTACTGCGCATGCGCAAACACATTACGTATTCCTCCCGAATTCAGTTGCTGCACAAGCGCAGTGCCCACACTTGGTGTGGGCAAAGCGGGCTTGTTTGTAAACACTCTGTTGGTCTAGAAAGGACCCCCTTCAAGACACCCAACAAACTAACAATTGCCCAACAAGAGATGTGAGGATGACTCACAATGGCAAGCATATGCAAAGCATGCTGTGTTACATCGATTCCGAAACAGTCAGAACATTGCTATGGCATTTTTAAATAATTTCAGGAAAACAATGTCTATATATTTATATATTATTGTTTTGTTCAATGAATAAAAAAGACACAATATCAGGGCACTTTACGAGTTCAATGTTCGACAGCATAAACCTTTTATCCTTCAATAAGCTTGTTCGATTTACGTGCACCTCCTGCACGGGTGCAGAGAAGTGTAGGTGTAGTGTACTTCCGGTATGTGTATTGAGATATGACCGGAAGTACACCGCCCTACAGTTTTCTGCACTAATGCAGCAGGTGCAGGTAAATGGAACGAGCCTAATAATGTGACTGCTCTTCCGAGACCTTGGAGCATCTCATTCTTTTTAGAGGACCATTTTCCTGGTAGTAAAAGACAAAAAAATAAACGCCCAGCAGGGGCAAAAGACGGACATAGACGTTTCAAAAGATCTGTATGTGTCAGTCTTCTGTCCCTAGTATGTTTTCATTCTGTAAATTCTTATTACGTACCTCCTTTGAAGGGGCCGTGCAACAATGATTGGTAGGAGTGTTTCTCACTTTACACAAGCTTCCAGGCACTAGTGGGACCCAAGAATACTCTAACACAACGCCACTTTCCAAAAGAAGCGTCTTCGTCGCAGTGAACTTAGAAAGATAAAAATGGGCGTTTTCTTCCAGCCTCTTTTTCGCGAAACTTGATGGCGAAGTTGCAAGGACAACGCCAACAATGTGATCTCCAGGATTGTGTCACCAAGCTTCGAGATCTTCGCTGTGATGATATTTAGTACAGCTCATACAGTGGACACAAGCACTGCGTCAGCATTCGATTAGGACTCATGACATTCAATGCATCGCGATGCATTTGGGTAGTGACTCATGTCAAATCGCTGTGATGGCGGGAATAGCAGAACTTTTGAACAATGTACGGAACTCAGGCAGCACCCTGTGCTTTTGCAGCCCCAGAGCGTGGCTATGTTAAACACTGGAGGCATTTAATTTGGCTCCAGATCACGTGGCTGCTTTATCTGGTTTTCGCTTTTCTCAAATCTTTTTTTGTGACTGCCATTGTGTGGAGAAAAAAAAACAATGCGTGTTTCATACGTTACAAATATCCAGGAATAATTCTAAACTATACTTATCGAAAGTAAAAAAAAAAAATTTGCATTGCCCTTTTAACAATTCTTTTCTATCCCTAGTTCCCATTTCCTTTCTTGTTTTTTCTGATGAGTGTTATGACTGACTGATAGAACCTGCTTCCATGATTTCTCTTTCTGAGATTTCACTGGGACATGCACAAGAATTTAACAATTCTATAGTAATTGTCACATGCACCATGAACAAATCAGTTTTGTCACATGCACCATGAACAAATAAAAACATTTTTGTTTCTGCTTCTCTTTGACAAAGAAAGTAAACAATACCCCATGAAAGAAATGGGCCTTTCCTTTCCTTGGATGTTACAAGCACACCAGGAGTGTGGGAAGTGTTTAAGAGATGGAGGTGAGGAAGGCGGGATTTCTCTTCCCTTCCTCTGATTATTTTACAAGAAATGTCCTAGGGGTCTTCCCCCCGTCCCCCCTTCTCCCCAGTTTCAATGCCACAGAGTACTCACATAGTGGAACAAGCAAGTAAAAAATTAAACCAATTGCCTCAAGGCTGTTCGACCAGCCTTTTCCGTGGAAATAGAGTGCATTTTTTACAAGGTACTTCAATATTTACATAATTTGGCAGCTCAAACGAAATGTTTCTAACCCTCAACTACTCATGAGCTTACGTTTCTGACTGCCTTCTTCGGCACAGAGTGGCGGTCGCCAGGAAGTTCGACCCTTCGGCTTTGTTGTCGAGCCTTGGCTTTTGCCCTTGCAGAATCCACCTCCATGAGTCCAGCTGGCATCCTTTTGCGAACATTTCGGGCTCGGTTCTTGAAACCTGCGTGCCAGGAGACCTAAAATGTGACATCAGAAAAAGTCTGATTAATGACGTAATTGACAATAGACCTTTCCCAAAATTGAAATGACCCTGGTGGAGAGGTGCGACACGGTGGATTCTGGGAACAGTAGATTGTGAGCGTAGTTTCGTCGTCTCAGTCTCTCATCACAGATCTTTAGCAGTTTTTGTCTTATTTTTCTCAGCTCTCTTTTAACATTTTAATGTGTATTTGGAGTGCCGATGCATTCATGCATTGATCCAAACCAAAAAATATATGGCTTCACCCATAGGCATAGACTATGGGGTGGCATCGGGGCTTGTGCCCCCCCCCCCCCCCCCCCCTGGTGAAATCCAAGCTCTTACCGGCCCGGGCCATGATCCTTACCGAGACGCTGTTTACGTGCAATGTAACGAGCTTCTAGGAGTGGCATGTAAACAAAATAACGCCTACTTTGCTTTTATTGACAAAATACATGGGAAATTAAGTACCAGCGTGCCTTTCGTTAGCTTCAATCTCCAGTTCTGGCAAGCAGTTAAAGCGCACCCCCCCCCCCCCCCTCCCCGGAGAGAACTTCTCAGCCTGCCCCCCCCCCCCCCCCCCCAGGAAAATGGAAAGTCTACGCCGCTGACTTCACCATTCTTCTCAGTGGCCAACTGTCCCAAGTTTGGAGCATGTGCCATGCTACAGGGAGGGATTTATGAAAGTAGACTATTATCTAGCAAGAGTCAATATGTGATGTTTGGGAAAATTGTATCCACTTTGCCTATCTGATGAATTTACTGATTAATTTGATGATTTTACAAACACTGTACTGCCCAGGGGTGTCGAATGATGGCCTGCAGCCTCATATCTACAGAAATGTAATTGATTTTTTACGAAAATTGTCATAAAACAAATAAGTGACTATACTCGAAGACAACTCTTGGCAATGCTGTCAAAAGTATGGGCATGCATGCCATCTTCCCTTTTGAGCGCTGATTAGAGCTGTGCACGCACTCTCCACGTCTCTTCAGAAATGCTAAGAAAAGTTGTCACCGAGTATAGTGCCTGTGAACATTATCAGCAGTTGAGCGTTCCTAAATTTGTTTCCAGCATGCAACCCATGAAATAGGCAATGTACAGTTTTATTTTTGAATATGCTCTGCCATTACAGCCGAACAGTGCCACAGCTGTGACAGCGGTACAACAAACTGAAGTATGGGCTCCTTGTAGTAAGGGCTCCTTGGTGGTGGAGAATATGCTTATACAGATTGTTCATATCACCTCAATTCTATGTGATTTAATTGCTCAACCATATCTGCAACTTAAATAACACCAATCAAATTAAAAAAAATTATAATAAACGTTTGTATTTATACAGCGTAAGGCCAGGCTGCCTTTGATGTATGGCGACACTTCTTCGTACTCTAGATGTGGTATAGCCAGCACAGTATGACTGCTAGCCGGGGTCTTCAACGTGCATCATGCTGTAGCAATATGCGACCCCACACAGGTATAATGCTCATCCGGATCTGCACAGGCAGGGCAGTCATAGGCAGGAAAAGGGAGGGGGAGATTATGGAGCCTTCATGACTTGTATATTTGCAAATTCAATCCCTAAAGCAAAATGAGTTGGACAGCCTCTAAGAGATTGTGAGAAATCTCAGAGTTATCACCTTTGGGTACAATGGCAACCAAAGGTGTCACAGTTAGTTGTTATGGTCAGGTCATTGATGTATAAATGCATACTCACACAGCGAGTTCGTGATTTATCCATCAGTTGCGGGTACCTCCTGACGAGTTCTTGGGCAGCTGTAAGGTAGTGTTCACCAGGGTACCTAGGAGATATTTCAGGTGAGAAGCATTTGAGCGATTGGTTACTTACAAATGAGACTGACAATTGGCATCATTTATTTTAGGCAGATCTTAACTGTCATTATGGGCACAGATATAATTAAGCCATAAATTAATACGTTGATTGTACAATTAAAATATTGCATCCTGTCTTCAATTTCTTAACTTAATTTCTTGCAGACATGGGACACTAACTTGAGAAATGTGAAAAATACACTCAATGTACACAATAAAGTATTAATAGAGGAAAGTGTCAGAATACAAAGATACAAAAAGAGACAGAGATATAGTAGCTGGATTATCTGCTATGGTTTCAAACTTCTTCCTCTTTGTGCACCTTGACTACCGTAATTTCCGGTGTATAAGTTGTGGTTTTTTCCAAACATTTTTCTTGGTGCGTCTCATACAACAATGCAACTTACACGAGTTTTTAGGTTTCTTTTTTCACGGTCCGACGCCATTTTTTTAATGCGCCGATCGCCATTTTTTGTAGAGCACCGTAACTACGTAGTCATAGGTGGTGTTGCCCCCTCCAGGAGGCACTGCTGTCACCGCACTCTTCTACACTTTTCATAACTGACTCAGAAAGCGAGAAATTTTAAGGTTTCCCCAGAGCGGCTCAATTTGGATATGCAATGGAGTGAGAATAAAGCTTTTACAGCATGTTATCGATGTTGCCTAATTCAGCCATGGCATTCTTTTGCTTCATTCAGTATTCTTTTGCTTCATTCAGTCCAATAACACTGTAAGGTAAGTGGGCTGGCATACACGCATTACAGACTATTTTCTCATGTCTCTCTTAGTTTCCGTTTGATCACCAGTTTCTTTTTGCCATGCTCCATCCATGTTGCTACATGTAACAGAAATAATTGTGCCTAGCCGATCTCTTAGAGGTACCGAAAAAAAGTATGTCAAGGTTTCCCTTTCTGCCTGCGCAGAAAGCCTAGGCCGAGTCCCGTCGTCTCCGGGACTTGGCCTAGGCTAGGCTTAGTGTTCCAAAGCTTGGTTCACTAGTGTCTAGCTCGTTAAAATTTTGTTCGCTCGGCACGAGTTACCTCGAATAAAACTGACTACCATCTTTTTTTGAGCATTTTACGTCTTTTTGCTGACAAACACTTGACTGCCCCCGCCAGACAGCTCCGTGCTGTGGGCATTTCTTGCGAGTCAAAAAGTAAATGTTGCACATCAAACGGTACATGCGATCTAGCCGATTGTGCAAAACTCTGATTTTGCGATACCGATGCACGTAAACTAAATAACTCATCGCTTGAACCGTGCGAAGAGGTGTGACTTATAGTCCGGCAAATACGGTATGTGCTTCTTTTTCTTCTTCTAAGAGATAAATAGACAAAATTTAGTTTGAAATGGACCCACATTTCAGTGAAACGTAAAACACCGCAAATATATATATTTTTTTTCATGTTTAGCTTGATAAAAGGCACGCTGACATGCATTGCTTTGTTTTCTTCGATGGCCATAGTTCCAAGCATTTCTCATGTAGTCTAGCTGGTAGTTCAGTTATAACACTATTTTTCTATCGGTAATTTCACATTTTTTTTCTTATTTGTTTAAGCTGGCCCTATCCTAGTATCGTGCACCAACTAGCTCAGCTCATAGCACATTAATCGAAAATTCCCTGAGCAGCAGTGCAACACCTGCTAGGAGATTTTGGCTCTATTTGTCTTGAAGCAGCCTCATGCTGTATAAACCAGAACATGTAATTTCTTTCTTTTTTTTCTTTTGAAGTATTTTTTAAAGAAGAAAGGAAGATTAATATGCTAATGATAGCAAAGGGTGGAGCTTAAATCACAAACGTTTCCCCTCTTCTAATGTTTGAGTTCGCAGTTTCGACTGTGGTGATGCCACATTCATCAAAGGAAACTCACTAGCAAAAAAATACTGAGCCTTCACCCCAAATTAAAACTGAACTACCAGAATTGATCACGCAGAAATTGTTCACGTCTATCAGGATACACATCAGAAAGAGCAGCATTTATGGGACTCAGGATATGGGTAGTGCATATAAAAGACATATGTTATGTCTTTTATATGCACTGTTATGTCTTTTATATGCAGGGTCTTACATATGACATATATGACATATGTAAGACCCTGCAAAAAGTGGAGACATGACTGCACATCTGTTGCAAATGCCTTGAACTAATGTTCCACATGAAAACGCCAGATTGCCCAAGGCAATCTGGCGTTTGGCAAGTGTGCCCTCCCAATGCCTCATCATGACTGCTAGCTGGAAAATAATTAAATATTAAACAATGGAGAACTAATGTTAAATACAGTTTGATACTCACATAGTCTCTATACATAAAGATGAGACAATCTGTCTGATGATGTTCCTCCTCAAATCCGGCATCACCTTGCCTACTTCCGTCTTTTCAATTTCCTGAGCAATGTTGATCGGGAAGTCAGGAAACTTGTACCATAGTGGTCCAGGTGCTGATTGTACGGATACAGGGCTCGGAACAGCAGGACTCTCCGGGCTCAATGCGAAATCAGGATCGCTGCAGTGGAGAAGTATTCTGTCCTTAGTCTTTCCACCAGAAGAAAGTTTCTTAAGAATGTACAAAAAGCAGTGTCATCAATTTCTGTCATGACAAAATCAAAGATGCTAGGGCTCTGTCCCGGTTATGAAGCAAATTATACAAATGCAGTAATGTCATCGTCATCCTCTTATACGTGCTGAAAGTGAAAGTGTTTACACGCTCAACACAACAAGCAAATAGATCAAGTGTGCCATAAATGTACTAACAGCTCCAAGGGTGCACTTCTGGCGGATAGGTCCAGGAATGGGTTTTCGACCAGTCTTATAATGTCACCGTTCGTGACAACAGTTGCGTCATCAATATCAAAGAACTCATTGAGTGCTTTGTCCTTCACCTGAAACAAATATTAAATATAAATCAGCTTAGCTGCACGTGAAAAGGTAAGTTAATACCGAGTGTTTCTACAATGACTTTAAAAATCTCAAAAAATACCATAAAACACCGAGCAAGTGCCAACTCAAACTTTGAAGATAATCAAGAAAAAATAGGGGATGGGCGCATGTGAGGTCATCAATTTTACATATATATATATATGTACTGTGCACATTTTTTTAGATGTTTAAAGTTTTGGGAGTGGGCGCTTAGTGCGGAATGGGCAGATGCATGGTATTCTATGTTATGCTGTTTGGGATAAAAAGAAACTCTTTTTGAAAACAAATTGTCGACTAAGCACGGTAGATGCCTGGGATTGCAGAAACATACTAAATATCTACCGAATTAATTTGTAAATTAGTGCAGTTTGGTGGGCAGTATGAATTGCAAGTTTGATGATGCAGACAATGATCCCATATTCATTTCTAAACCGGAAAAATTCCTTCTCACAAGGATTGCAGCGCGACAAAATCTCTAGCTGTTTTTCTGCAGGAAACCGAAACAGTGAATGAGAAGCACAGGGAATTATGTGCAAAGAAAACTTCCGCTGTTGACGAGTTGAAACGTCACCTAATTACGGCACGTGGTTCAAATTTTCTGCATTATTTTTCTCTCCAGCTCGGCATCTCGCGGCCACTTGCATTGGCCGCATCACTCCATATAAGAGAGATAGACCTGCACAGATTTTCATTTCAAGTAGCAGTTCCATTTTTTTTTCTTAACACAGAATGTGTTTTATGGAGCATTTCCTAGAAGAAAATTGCATGAACAGGTATCATAATAGCAGTCATAGCGAGCGTCTTGAATACATGATGGAGGCATTAGAGATGTTAAGCTTTCATATAAAGATTGAGCCTCGGCGAGGCTCGAAGCTAGGTCGGTGCGGCGGCCAGTTGGATATCATAGTCACACAGCTGGCCTTGAGTTATTAATAATTTTGATTTAAAAGCAAATGCGCCAGTGAGAGCAGCATGTTTTGGGTAAAAATAATAACTAAAACAAATAAAAATACACAACAACAAATATAAAAAAGATTAAAAAATAATATACAATAAAATTCCGATAACATAAAAATAAAATCACAAAAATAATGTAATGCAATAAAATATATCAGAATAAAAACAAAATAACACTAAAATAAAAAAAAATATATATATATTTCAAAACAAATATATATATATATATATGGGTGGTTTCATCTCAAATCGTGCAGGCAAAGAGGGTCGAATTTTTAATTTCGATGAAAAAAATATATGTTATGGCGCCGTTTCTAAAACCGCAGTCGACACAAACCGCAAGTTCGTCCGATTTTTTGTTCTCGACTTATGAATTTTTAAAGAGGCCGCGGCGAAAAGCAGTGTTTTTCACACCCGTCGTGGGTCGGATGTTTCGCTTGATCTCCCGCCATGGATTTTCAGTCCACATTATATTAACTTTTTTCAAGCACTCTGTGGACACATTTAAAAGGCTCCAATACCATGAAATAATTTTAGGCCTTTTTCTTTTCTTCTGTAAAAATGTCAAAAACGCCTCCTCGGTCAATTGTTGACGAACTTTGACAATTAATTACTGGCGATCTACTTGGGTTACACCGATATTTTTTATGTCTACGGAGAGCCCAAAACACGCTCTTTATATTTATTATAAAATTCCTTGGCTGTATAAAATATTCTTTGCGGTACGTTTACGTTAATATTATGCAAAAACCAAAAAGTACCATTTTTGAAACTGATTTTCTCAAAAAACCCATTTTTTATTTTTTTTATTTTTTGTTCAAATGTAGATATCATAGTTGTCTACACAAAAATTAAGCCTAGAAAGTGTATATTTTGTTTGCATCTTTTATATTTAGTCCTCAGTATCGGAAAAAGACGTCTTTGTTTTGCAAGACCTAAGTCAGACATAGCGACCCATGCGTCTCTATGAATTGTGAAAAAGTTTTCTTGAATTTTCTTCTGCATTTTGTAATCAATTATAAACGGATTTTGTGGTATTGAATATTTATGTATGTTTTGATAAGAGCGGGAACCATGAGATACATATCTAACCAAATCAGCAGGCTTAGTAGACTTTCAATAACCAAAAGGCACACACGTTGTATTGTTTCGATTTATAAACCTTTCAAAGTAAACTAGCACGACTAGCTATTAGCTGTCATATTACTAAGACAAAGAAAGTCACCACATCGTCGATATATTATATACAATTCTTTACGAAACCAAACACTGGGGCTTGTTTATCGCACATCGCACAGGTCACCAGGGAATGTCCTTTCACTTCCGTAATACACAAAAGTGGTGACACGGAAACGGTCCATAACACACAGAGAGTGTGTCACGGAGAGGGGTAGGAAATAAAAATAAATAAATAGGAATAAAATTGCCCAACTCCGATCTTAACGAAAATTGCGTTAAAAAAAAAATATAAAGTATTTAGGTTTGAGCGGTGGCAAGGCGATAGGTCCACGCCTGGTGGAGAGTCAGACAAAGAAGTCGACGGCACGTAAAGGTAAAACAAAAACAAAAAAAAATCAATAATTTAATAAAGACGGGAAAACTCAGCCGCACATGGCAAGAACAAAAACCAACTCCCCCGGGCATTCCCTAAACGGGACGCAACCAAATGCGTGCGAACACGCTCTCTACATCACCGCCAGGCCGCTACGCCATGACGAAATAAACCCAACAACTGAACAGTGCTAACAAACAGTTAGTAAGAAAACATTGAAAAAAAAAAAAACGTTTAGAAAAAACCGCACCCGAGAAACAAAGTTCAGCGGGGCGAAGAAACCAGGGTATCGGAACAAAACGAAAACCAAAAACGAAAAACGAAAAAAACGATATTTTTGGGCGGAACGGAAACGTAATCGAAACATTATTTATTATTTTGTTCCGGAGTGAAACCGAAAAATTTTCTTATCGGTTTTCGGTTCAAGGGAAAATATCAGGTATTTCAGTAATTCGTTTCACGCAGCGAAGAGACAGCCGTTGGTTTGTACAATAATTAAAGAGAAGACAAGCAAGCCATCGCTCCCGCGTCTAAACTTTGGGCGAACAAGCATAGCAAAAACAAAGACAAAAAATACGAGAAAAAAAAAAACATGACGCAAGGCACCATTGCTTCCCACCAATGAGAGCGCGGTGGCGCGACGCTTCCACACGCTCGCAATGCTCTCCTTGGCTCTTGCACCCTCTTCCTCCATGCTTTCTTCTGACGACACAGACAGACAACAGATCACGGCAAGTGCGGGAAGTTTGTGACCCGGCGTTGTAGAAGTCTATCTTTTGTTTTTCTACGGATACGGCAGTCTTAGACTCTGTTGCAAAACTGTACTTCATCCCTATGGGCCTTCAGGGCCTTCTCGGCGCTGAAATTTATTTTATCGGACCAGAGGTCTTGCCTTTCACCGAGCACACTTGATGACGTGCTGCTTCTGAGATCATGTTCGGTGCCTTGATCATGATGTCATTCTCAAGGCAATGAACATGATCTCAGAAGCAATGTCGTTTCCGCGGATTCCTCTAGAGCGCCTGAATTATCTATTTTTGTGTAAAAATAAATGTTACGTTCCTTTTAATTTTTGTTGCGATTTTTTTTCATAGAAAGAAACCGTTACGAACCGTTACGGAGCATTTATTATTCGTTCCGGAGCGGAAACGGAACGGAACTGTTTTGTACGGAACGAAAATGAAAACGGAACGAAAAACATTTCGTTCCAACACCCTGGAAGAAACACACACGAGTCGGCCCCACGACATTGAAGTCTGGCAGGATGACGGCGTCCAGATGATGCTCGAATCTGTTTCTCCCTCTATTACGCACATCCACGACGGCTCTGCGGAACTGTAGCTGTACGAAAGAATGTGACGAATAGATTCGAGCAGGCGATGCGCGAGAAGGTAACCGAGACTATGCTTCAAGCTTCATATCGGGAGAGGAGCTTTCGAGGTAGTTTCTGCAGTTACTCAAACTTTCTCTTTCCCCTTCCCTTTTTTAAAAGAACACGTCAGCCGGCGCTAACGTTTCATCTTGGGAGAAGCCCACTCTTCACAAACGGTTATAGTTGACAAGGAGGCTGACTTCGACCCAACTAGTCTCCGGGCAGAATACAACCAACACGCTCGTTTTAATGTCTGTCTCCGGGCTTTGCTGTTTCCAAAAGAGATAACCCTTTATAAGGACAGAGCGAGCGGGTTGGTGGGGATAATTAAACTTAAACACTCCCTTCTCGTTTTCTTCCTCAAGTTTAATAGATAACCCTTCGGTGCTATCGGATCTCCCCGGAGAGAGAGAGAGAGCACGGCCGTTTCAAGGTAAGGATAGGGAGCTCGAAGCTCGGGCAAACAGGCGGTATCGTTTCACGCATGCACGGATGGCTGGTTTGAAATTTCCCCACATCCCTAACGAAACCGGCCCATCTTCGTGTGTGCGTCTGCGGGATTTCTGTCCCGCGCCGCCGGTTTTAGCGCGCACGCGGCGTTGTTTTGGCTGGCAGAACAGTTGTTGACCGTCGACATTGTAAGGCCGTGGTGTCCTCACCTTTTCAGGCAACGATTCCTTTGCTTTCCCTTGTGCAATACTCTGACTGACTCCTCCTGGGTGGATGTCACTGTTCGCCGCGTCAACGACACAATCGTACCATTTCACTCCTCGTGACACAGGGTGCGCTGCACGCTTTCCTCTCACGGGCCGTCCCATCTAACACAACGAGCGCGAAAAGTCGTGGTCATCTGCTGGCTCCGAAAGGGCGGGACGTTCATGCAGGCCAATGAGAGCCCCGAATCAATAAGACGTCTGCCGACTGCTACACGTTAAAAATTTACGACACCTGCTGGTCTGTTAAGAAGTGTTGCTTTCTCTTTTTGGAACTCCTCCGATGTAGCTTGCCGCGTATATTAAAATTTAAATAATCAATAAATATATCAGGGTGGAAATACTGTATTTCATTTTGATGTGGGAACGTTGAAAAAAAAGAAAAAAACTATTTCCAAGCTTGTGAAGACGCGCAATTCGCAAGTCCATTTCGAGCCGTAAAAACACGTTTTTGTACGATATTGATGCTTAAATGTAGAACATACAAACAAAATATACACTTTCTAGGCTTGATTTTCGTGTAGACAACTATCATATCTACATTTGAACAAAAAATAAAAAAATAAAAAAATGGGTTTTTTGAGAAAATCAATTTCAAAAATGGCACTTTTTGGTTTTTGCATAATATTAACGTAAACGTACCGCAAAGGATATTTTATACAACCAAATCATTTTATAATAAAAATAAAGAGCGTGTTTTGGGTCTCCGTGGACATAAAAAATATTGGTGTAACCCAAGTAGATCGCCAGTAATTAATTGTCAAAGTTCGTCAACAATTGACCCAGGAGGCGTTTTTGACATTTTTACAGGAAAAAAGAAAAAGGCCTAAAATTATTTCATGGTATTGGAGCCTTTTAAATGTGTCCACAGAGTGCTTGAAAAAAGTTAATATAATGTGGACTGCAAATCCATGGCGGGAGATCAAGCGAAACATCCGACCCACGACGGGTGTGAAAAACACTGCTTTTCGCCGCGGCCTCTTTAAAAATTCATAAGTTGAGAACAAAAAATCGGACGAACTTGCGGTTTGTGTCGACTGCGGTTTTAAAAACGGCGCCATAACATATATTTTTTTCATCGAAATTAAAAATTCGACCCTTTTTGCCTGCACGATTTGAGATGAAACCACCCATATATATATAAAAAGATTGAAACACATTGCGCGAATGATGCACAGAGTGGTTCGTGCGGGACATTCCGTGCTCCATGGTCTTCAACATTAGCAAATTTTTTTTTTTTTTTTTTTTTTTATGAGTGATGCGGCAAAAAGCGCGTGCTGCGTGCCGAGGTCGACGGTAAAATGACGTAGACGTTTTGAACTGCGCGTCGAAGATTAGGTGACGTCACAACACGTCACCAGCTGAAGGTACCGTTGCACGTGATTTCCTGCGCTTCTCGTGTTGTTTCGGTTTCCTTCGGAAAAAGCTCGCGATTTTCTCACGCTACAGTTTTTGAAAACTTCTGTTTTAAAAACGGATATGGGGTCATTCTGTCTGCGGCATCAAACTCGCAGTGGCTACCAAACTGCGCCGATTAAAAAAGAATGTTTTTATTTTTTTAATTGGTTTGTTAATTAGTATATTTTCTCGGAATACGGACGCCCACAGCGGCTGTCAATTTGTTCCCAGAAAGAGGTTCTGTCTATCCCGTACAACATTATTTAGGAACTTTTTTTTTAAGTCGATCTTTATTGGAACACCCGCGGCATATCACATCTAATGTAATAAACTTTTTTTTTAAAGGTTTGTAGACATGTAGGGCAATGGGCTTAGTTAACTTGCTTCAATGAAAAACAATTATTAAAAAAAAGGGGGGGGGGGCAGGCCGTAAGCGGCCAGTAATAACCAAACTTACTGTTAAACCACACCAATTTTTAAATAAATGTTGGCCTTATTCGACGCAGCCTAATCAGAGATGTGTAGACTCAACCTGTCATCAAAACAAAACAAAACCTACTCGAAAAAGAAATTCTACACGGGGAGACGTGGCTTTTTTTTTTATTGGAAGCACTGGAGAATGTGCATCGGTGCCCGATCGGCTCGCAATTACTCGCCACCCGCTCCTGCAGCGACCACCGACATCTTTTCAGAGCGGGTGTTTCGCTCCAGAGGGTCACCGATAGCCTAAATTCTTCATGAATGACGCGGAACAGAATTCATTTTATCGAAATCGAAAACCTCTGTGACCTAATCTTGAAAGCCGCTCTCGCGCCTCTGCAAGTACCACACAAAACGTGTGCGCGCATATCACTCACCTGTATCAACATGTTGTCCACGACATCTTTAAAGGGGCTTGTGAGAAGGGCCGTTCTCACATCCGCCGCAGCCTTCTCGCCGCCTACAACCAGCTTTTTGCAGGACTCCTTGTACTTCACTATACAAGTAACGCTCATTTTTTCTCAGCTCTAGAGCAGCGATTTCCTGCTGTGCGTACAGAACAAGATGTGGAGGCGAAACTAAAACGCTCGCAGGCAAGCCCGGGCGATGGGGAAATCCGGTGCCCCTGCTTGGCTATTGGTCCGGTGGGCACGTAGCTCCCAAAGCTGCCTCAGTTGGTTACACTTTCAGGCCTGTACCTTTGGCAAGACTGCGCGCAGCTATACTTTGTTCCTCTACGATGGATCGCAAAGGACGCTACGAACCACTAGAGCCAGTCCATAGCTCGGAGAATGTCACGTGTGCTCTTGGGGGAGGGGGAGTGACGCCAGAACAGAGAAGTCACATGACATGCCACGTGCTATGAATTGGCTCGGGTAGCTCGTAGTGTTCATCGCGCTAAATCCTAGGGTTTACGCGATAGAGAGGGGAGCCCAATAACTAGGTAAACAGCCGACTCGTATACAAAGGATGCCGCTTCGGAGATATGCTTCGTACAATAAGAGATGCCGCTTCGGAGATTGTCTTCGGGTTCTATCAGAACCAGCCATCTTCACGTGTGCTTCAACGCGCGTTCAGGGTGGTCGGTTATGGTGCGTCGCGTCAACACCACATTCGCGCACTTTTACCACACGCAGAGTTCACTGCTCTGTTTGCTCTAAAAAGCCGTCTGCTGCTTCCGAAAGAGTAGGACGTTGAATAGGCCAATCAGGGGCCCCGAACTCGCGAGAAATGCTAGCACGAGAGATGCTGTCGTCTTTTTAAAAAGAAAAACACAGAAAAACGTGGAGTTTCCATTTCTCTTTTGGCGTGATGTGATCGAAGCAAGCAAGCAAAACTTTGTCAGAACACTTAACGCCGGTTAAGAGGCGGTTACAACATGGAGAAAATTCACTTCTTTCAGTGCCCCCGTTGCACATTTTTTTATCACAAATTGACTGTGATCGTTTGTCATCTCGGGGTCGTGCACAGTGGAGAGCACAACTTCCTTGTCACATGTGCTGTGGACAGTTGTGGAAAGTCATACAGGCACGTCGAGTCGTACAGAAAACATCTATACCGGAAGCACAAGGATGCCATTTCGCCACCTGAACCTCCGCAACTAGAAAGCCCCATTGAGTGTGAAAGTGCACAGGATGACCCAGTTCTCCCAGATGAAAGTGCGCAGGACGACCCAGTTCTCCCAGATGAAAGTGCGCAGGATGACCCAGTTCTCCCAGGTGGAAGTCGTGACAATCCACCAACCACCAGCACCACCAAGCCTCAGACATTTGAAGAGTTTCTTTCCACCATGACCAAGACTGTCTGCATGTGTTTCTTTAAGTTGACAGAAGAGCGCAAGGTGCCTCACAGTGCAGCAGACTTGGTGTTTGCAGACATGCGGTTCATGCTTCAGGTTGTATTAGAACAATTTGCTGGACAGGTTAAACAGGCCTTGCCATTCAGTTACGACGCACTGCCCAGAGAACTAGCAACTCTACTTGATTGCACCTTTGTTGAACAGATTTTCAGCTGTGTCAGGTCAAAGCATGCACGAGAGCAGTTCGCAAGAAACATGTTTCCCTTTGTGAGTCCAGATGAAGTGAGAGTCGGAGATGAAGGTGACACATTTTAATATGTATCGATTGGAAAAGTGCTTACAAATATCCTCCAGTTGAAGGCAGCTCCAGAACTCTTAATTGATGAGCATGTCCCCACTTTGACAGACGATGGGTACGAGACCTATAAAGACTTCAGGGATGGATCCGTGTATGAGAGGTTACGAGATGTTGTGACAGACGCATCTGTAATGACGCTCTTTGTGCTACTGTACATGGACGAGGTGGAAATTGCCAACCCCCTCGGGGCCAAACGTGGAGTCCACAAGCTGACAACAGTGTATTTCACACTGCTAAACATCCACCCACGGTACAGATCAAGGCTCAGGTCTGTCTACTTAGTCATTCTAGCAAAATTTAAGGATGTCGAAAAACATGGGCTTTGTGCCATCCTGAAACCACTACTTGATGATTTGGAAGAACTCAGCAGCACTGGCCTCACTGCAGCTATAAATGGTGTTCCACAAAATGTGAAGGTCATTGTGATGGCAGTGTGTGGCGACAATCTCTCCCAACATAAGTTAGGAGGGTTTTCGGCGTGTTTTTCGCAAGGGCGTGTATGCCGCTACAGCATGGTGACAAGTCGCGACCTTCGTACCGTGACAAGTGAAGAGCACTGCCAAATAAGGACAAGAGATAACCACAACAGCCACTTAGCTGCAGTTAAGATAAACCCTCAGGTCAATTGCAAGCTGTATGGTGTTGTCGGCCCATCCCCAATATCACAGTTGACCTATTTTGATGTCACGATGCAAATGGCCCCTGACGTCATGCACGATCTTTTTGAAGGTGCGCTTGCATTCATCATTAAGCATGTCACAAAAGGTCTAATGGACGAAGGCACACTGAGCCTGGAGGATCTGAAGAGAGTGGAGACTTTTCCTTACGGGTTCAATGACAGGAAAAACCGTCCAGAACCACTGACAGCTGCATTTATTCAGGGTGGAGCAAGCCTCAAGGGTACGGCCTCTCAAAAACGGTGCCTGTTCAGACTCTATCCCCTGATATTCGGAACATCCATTCCGGAAGGAAACAGACACTGGAATGTGCTCCTCCAGCTGCACGGCATTGTTGATTTGGTGCTCTCTGAAGAGATTCCCGAGGACTGGCTTGCATACCTCGAAGTTCTAGTGGAAGACTTCATCCAAGCATTCACAGAGATGTACCCTGAGGCAAGGATCCTCCCAAAAATCCACTACATTGTGCACTACGCAAGGATGACAGCTGCCCTTGGACCTTTGCGCCAATACTGGTGCCTTCGCTTTGAAGCAAAGCATCAGTATTTTAAAGCCATGGCTTCAAAGGTAAAAAATTTCAGAAACATCTGCAAGACGCTTGCATCACGGCACCAGTTGCTGCAGAGCTTTGAAATGAATTCCCTTGAAGCAAAATCAAGTCCAAGAATGCTGCGTGCAAGAGAGGTCAACAGAGATAATTTGCCAGCTGCTGCTCAAAGCTTGAAGCACAAAGTGAGCCTCTTGGAAGCGAAAAGTGTTTCTCTAGATGCAGGAGATTACAGAGAACACGACATTCTCGTGGTAGTGAAAGGAGAGCTCCCCACATTTGCACAGATCCGCAACATTTATGTGTCTCATAATGATGTGTTTTTGTTACTTGAAATGCTTGCAACCGACTGCTTTCAGCAACATGTGCGTGCCTACAAGGTGGCCCATACAGGACTGCTTCAACTCTCAGAATGTGGTCCCGAACTCGAGGTATCACATCAGCACCTCGACGTGTACAGTGATGGACTTGTATGTTGTCGTCATGACATCTTGTTTTAAACAGCCGAAATCTGTTCAACTTGTGTATATGCTTACATAATTAGTTTGAGTTTCATACTAATAAAACTGCTTTCTTAATAGTATATCTCGACAATGTCTGCATTAAAACGAGTGCCGCTAAAAAAAAACTTCTCTGAACCACGGCTAAGTAAACTGAGGCAGAGCCGTATATGGGGAAAGTTTGGTCAGTCTATGATCTTGCCGCCGTAACGTCCCCCTCCCGAGTGAGCCAATCAGCTCGCGGCGCGGAGCGAGAGGCGTGAGCGCATGCGCGTGGACCCCAGCCGAGTGGGGAGGGCCGCCATTTTCATTCATTCGCCCGGCGGAAGCATGGGATCGACATCTAAATTTTGATTCTTTCCTTTTATTTGGCAGGCTCTGGCAAGAAAATGATGCAGTGTTATTCCTTCGTGGCTTAAAAAGCAAACGAATTGAGCTTCTGCATGTCTGAACGTAAACTTGGATTCAGGCAAAAAAAGAAATAAGCCCGTAGCAGATGACGCGTAGCCTCCACAGTGCTCCGAGCCAATAGCGTTGCGTCAAAATGGTGGTCGTCTCCTCTTTGTTCCCTTCTTTCTCTTTCGCTCCTTTGCACTCTCCTCCTTCTCCTTCACTTTTCTCCTCTCCACTGCCTTCGTCGCCACAACCACTGGCCAGACTCTCCCAATATACGGCTCTGAACTGAGGCACGCGGACCGGTTATGACAGCCAAGGGGAAATAGATGCAGCCCACCATGCCTTGAAAACTTTTAGACACCCTCGGTTTGTGATAAACCATTTTAACTGCTGTGTCAGTCTTAAAAGCAAGTTTTCAGCATGAATGGAGAGTTTACAAAAAATTCAACTGCTCTCCTCCCTTCACACAAATGCCTGTTTAAAAAAAAAAAAAATGTTGTATGCAGCACATAGACTATGACAGTCTATTACCGCAAAATCGCGAGAAACATACCCCCTGAAATCGAGAAAGAATTGGTTAAAAATGAAGTGTGGGTCAACTTTCAGCATGCAATCAAGAAAGCTTGGAAAAAATAATAAACTATTTTTAGATTATGTTTTTCTGCCAAACTTGTTATCGAAGCAAGGGGCAATGAAGCAAATATGACTATATTTTCCAGTCAGCAATGTTCGCTTATATCTCGCTATAGCTAACAAGATGTAATTACGCCGAGGTCATCATATATCCCACACTACGATTACTTTCGATGTTTAAAAGAATAGCCAATCAAGCGAAAAATAGGGGGGGGGGGGGGGTTACCTTTCGGGGGTGGGGCATCTCTCGGGATTTTACAGTAGCTCCTGATATGGCATGCAGTAGGAAAGTGAGCTTATTCTACAGAATTGAACAATATTTCAAAAGATTGTATTTCAAAAGATTGTAAAAATGTTACCAATATTTTTAATGTACTTGCAGAAATGAGAATCACAGCAGAAGTGCACAGATAGGAACAGCACCATTCTCAGATGATCATAGCCATGGCTTGGAGCTGCGGACACCACAGAGCCGGTACAATAACAGAAAAGCCCAATATACTTTTATACTCTTCATTCAATCCATATCTGTTCAAAAACGCTTCGATGCACATGACACTTGGAGAATTAGCCTCTATTATTACAAATGAATGGTAACAGCCTAATGACTAATACGAAATGCAGAAGGCTGTAGAAAGGCACTCAGTACATGAGACAGATACAGATCAAGTTAAGCGGGAAAGCGATGCAATTTAGTTGAAAAGAATGAAAGCACAGCTTGAACATGTCACAGGCATCCAAGTATGGCTCTCCATCATGTTCAATGTATTTTAGCTGCCCTAACTGAAGTACAGTAAGTTTGAATGTTTCATTGATAGCATTGCTGCTGCCACGTTAGGACTGGTAGTGTAATTAACTTTTGGATCAGAAGCACGGGGTGCTGTCTGCTTCTGTTTGCTCTAGTGTGTGTTTCTTTTGTCTATAAACAAAATATTTTCTGTGAGTGTTTCTTCATCCAAATATACTAAAAACCATCTTCGACACGAAATGGAATTGTTCCTTAATTTTTAAGGGTTTCCGTCTGCTTTCGATTGTTTCCTTGTACGCCACGATAGCATTTACATTCATTTGCCGTCAGCAGATGAATTCTACACTTTTCAGCACATAGTACCGAAAAGTGTAGCATGGTACAGAAAAGTGTAGCATGGTGCAGACAAGCCCAGGGCAGCGAACTTCCGGTATATGTTTTAGGAGAGGCTGCACTTGACCACAATGGTGTGCACAGGCACGTAGCCAGGGGGGAAGCCCTGGCTACATGCCTGTGCACGTAGCCAGGGCCTCTCCCCTGGCTTGTCACGGCTGCCCCTCGTCTTAACTTTGTCCCTGTCTTGTCACGGTTTTAAACCGAAGATGCTTGTCAACAAACTAGCCAAACATACCTTTTAGCAACCCAAAATCAAACTCTCAAGATAACTGTTACCAGTAAGAGCTGTCCATGCGCTTCCTTTTCTAAAAAAAAAAAAAAAAAGAAACATTTATTTTAAGCGACAATGAAAACGACCTCGTTCTTTTTGCTGGCGCCTCGCTACGGCAGGGCATGCGCCTCAAACTTGTCAAAGGCAGTATCGCGCACATGCAGTCTGTGAGTGACGTTTGGGTCGCAGAAAAGCCTTTACCGAGCGCCCTCAATAGTGGGAAACGGTACTCCATTGGTGTGTTGTTGTTGGCGATGTAGGTTGGGAGCTCGCAAGCAAACAGAGGCAATCTTGGGTGTGTCATTCTCTGGGCAAGACAGGATACGTCATGATGGTATCGTTCCACGGCATTGTTGCATAACTAGAGCGCTGAGTCGCGCAATACAGAATGAACATCGGCGCATGTGTCCCCCAGATATTCAAGCTTAGATATTGTCTGGTGTACAACCATAACAAATAAAAAACACTTTTCAAATACCGTCGACAAAAAGGAAGGTCCCAGATGAGCTGGTGAAGGTTAAACATACTGAACAAAGCCTCAGACTGAGGAAAGGCAGAACGAGAAACAGTCATATCTTCTGCACGTTCCTCCTGTCGGTCCTCAGTCCCCAACACAATCAAATATAACCCTACCTCACAATTAAATACAGTGAAAAGAGTATGCTTACCTCATTTCAGCAAATATTCATGTCAAACCAAGCGCAGCGTCGGTAGCGTCAAGCCACAACTCGCCCCTTTCCGCACGTAGAAATTCAGCGAGACGCTCACGCAGGCCGGACAGGCCGAGAAGGGAGAAAGCCAACCAGTGTTGCCAGGTTGCTGCCGTGCTTCCGCCAACTTACGCGAATTACGCGACACATAGTGTTGTTGGCGGTTTCAAATTTGTGCAGTGATTACAAAAACTTAAAATAAAATACTTTACAAACTTTTTGAGGTTATTCAAGTCAATGATTTTATTGTACGACTGCCTGGACAATATTATATGATGCTAAGGTGACCACCCCACCCGTTGTCACTGGGAGGGATGTGGTCATTCCTCAGCGGCTTAGTGTCGTCAATTTGCCCAAAGGCTAGTAACAGGGCCTTTGGGGTAGTCAATGGCTCCGAAACGCCATTTTGACTACACCGGGTCGTCATTTTTTCTTAGAGTGTACGCAGACAGCCAGGGTTCGATTCCTAGCCGCGAGTACGCATTTTTTGTTGTCTCTAATGTGCTGTTCTGGTAAATTTGAGAACCGTGTTGGCTAATTCGAGGTTAGAATGTTTTACGCGTCGAACCTTCTACGCCGACCATTTCAGAAGCCCACGCGTGTACATAAGGGGCTTCGCGTGGCGAGCCAAAGTCAGTCTCGCCCCAGTGCTCAATCCTGCGGTTTTGCCGGCATCGACGCCCACGACGCTCTGCTGTTTTCATCTGTTCCCCTTTTGTTTTAAGCACAAGTTCGCCCCATTAAACGTTTAGTTTCTTCAGTTATCATCGCCTCATCAATTGTCATTCGTGACATTTTGGTGGAGGTGCGGGGTACGCATGTCCGTTCAGCGCACCCCTACGAGGGCCCGCAGTACAAGTCCGACCCGAAGCCCCCGAGGACCCAACGAAGAGAGGACCGAGACCCGATCAAGTCGCCGCAACGTCGGCCTACCCCCGGAACTTGGACCACTGCCGGACAAGACGAAGAAGCTATCGAAGCCGACGATGAACACCACGTCGCAGCCAGACGGAACGCCGCCGACCTCCATTGTCTACGTGCAGGCCCCACCAAGGACGCCACCGAATTTCAGTGGCAATCTTCATGAAGATGTAGACGACGGGTTGGGCCAGTACGAACGCGTCGCACGGTTCAACGGATGGGGTCCTGAGCAGAGCCTGTGAAATGTTTACTTCGCTCTGGAAGGCACTGCGCGCACCTGGTTCGAGAGCCACGAAACGTCAATTTCGTCGTGACAAGACTTCCAGGCGGAACTTCGACGCACGTTTGCCAGCCAGCAGCGACGTCAGCCGGGTGAAGAACTTCTTCAAGCAAGAAGCCAAGGGCCAAACGAGAGCGTCACAAGTTTTGTCGTGGACGTTCTCTGCCTCATGAACCGCGCCGACCCAAACGCTCCTGAAGAGAAGAAGCTGCGGTTCCTGATGCGAGGAGTGAAAGGAACCATCTTCGGAGGCCTTGTGCGGAACCCGCCTATCGCCGTCCAAAACTTCATCACCGGGGCAACAAACATCGAACGTGACCTT